ACCAGGACCCTCACTACAGTACTTCTGCCACTGCCTACAGACACATTTGCACAGCACCATAAACATTGCCACACATTACACCAAAACTTATATCCAGGAACAAAGACATGTATATATTTGAAAATTAGAGAAATCTCAATGTATCCTTCCTGGTAAAATATTTTATAAATAAATAATGTAATAATTTGGATATACTGTTTGGGTTAAGGTGCAGTGTATTGTATCAGTATACTTTCACTATTTGATTTTATATTTAACACATGTTTGGGCTGGTTTTAATTGCCGATTAAATATTAAGCTTAGTTCCAGGCATTTTTTTTTATATATATTCAATCAGATGTTTTTTTAAATGATTATTTTTTTTGGATACTTTTGATATCCATACTGTATTGAGTAAATCAATATACTTCAATGGGACACTTATCTCTTTCATTTATCTTATTCATCCAAGTCATGGAACACAACAAAAGAATTACAGTACTGAAGTCTTTCATGTGGTCAGCTCTCACATGGGAATATGTTTGCTTAATATTCAGCTGTTTAACAAAGGTTGGAGATAAAGCGTAAGATCAGCTCTCTGATTAAATTATTAGAAATATCTAATCGTAGCCTTAGTTACATATAATAGTAAGAATTACGCCACTAGAGGGGCAGGAAAAACCTGACCCCAGAGTCAAGAGTGGACTAAATGGGTAATATGTGCTTTACCCAGAAAAGACAAAATTAAAAAAAGAATAACAAATCTTTCTTTGATAAAAGCGGGTCCCAAGTCAAAAGACTATGCATAACAATTCTCAAAAAAAGGTTAGATTACCCACATATAACATGTATAACCCACTATAATTGGTAAGAAACAAAAAATGTAAATATAAACGTTATTAGTATTTAAAGGGCATATCTACATAATAGTGAAAAAAAAAGACAAAATGAAAAACACAAAAGTGACTTGCGAATGTGTAATATTACAATGGGGTCTGCCTATCTGGCTTGTATATATCAATCACAGCAAGCGTGAGAAAATATACTAATTCTTGATCAGCCCAAGTAGAAAGATAGTATCAAGAAAGGCAGCTGTTTAGTAATAAAATGTTATTCCAAGTGGAAGGCTAAAATGCAGGCAATTAAATAGCAGCAGTCTATGGGGATCGGAAGAATAAGATATATTTTGAAAATTAGAGATATGGGAAATATTAGAGATATTTAAAAAGGTGAATAAAAGGTATGGGTACATACATACAATGATAGAGGAAATGGAAGTAAACTGGTATATTAGTAGAGTCTGATTGTAAGGAACAGGAGGGTAGGTGTATAGAGTGTTAATTTGCCACCCCCACCTTAATAATTAGACCAAACTCCACTTAAAAGAGGGTGAGTATGGGACATAAAGGGGAAAACAGGAGGGTAGAAGTTCATAGCAATAATTACCTCCCCCCCTCCCCACTACAAAACACAACCCTGATTATAGTTGCAAAGAAAAAGGCAAAAACAAAAAACAGAGCTGGATCAGAAGGGCTGGATCAGAATAAATATATGAGAGATATCTGGGATTAGTCCAGGTAGCTAACCTAGGTAAATACTGCGTCTGAAGGCACCTAAACCAGGGTTGAAGCATACCCCATAGACTCCCTAATAAGATACCTGTATAAAGGTCCTAAACAATAAACCTTACTCTTATACTCCGAGTGGTACAAGTGCTTAGAGGTAAAGGTAAATCACAACCAAATAAAAATCTGAATCAGTCCCACATTGATCCTAACACACCCGAAATCTCTCTAGCTGCTTCGAGGCAGCTCTAAAATAAAGAAGCTAAAATTACTATCCTGGCAAAGTGCATGATGGTAGAGCCCATTGGAATTCTAATAAAATAAAAATTGCCTATAATGGTAACCCTCCTCGACGCACGTTTCGGCGCTATGATACATATAGTAATATAGGTGGAAAAAACACTGAAGTCCATCAAGTTCATAAAACATTAGATTTGGTACCCAGTGGCCACAATGTCAGTTTTTGATGACCAAAAAAGTCTTTATCGTAGATTGGAACACAGAGTAACAATAGGAAGAAGTAGAACAATCCTTGCTTGAGAGCTCCATGCTTCAGAATAAAACTGCCAACTACTATGTCCAGGATAGAAGCAGTGATAGGAGCTTCGGTACACAGTTAGACAGTCAGCTAAAGAATATTAATGAAGTAATCTGGATGCTATATTTGATCAAATCAGGATTACACGCAGGACCAGACTGTGGATAAAAAATTCATCAATTATGCTAGAGCTTAGTGAATACTCCCGTAAGGCATGCAATGCGGTTGCTTCACATAAAACATATATAAACTAACAATATATAATATAAATATAGATTTTTCTGTAATGCCCCTCTTTCCCCCCCTCTGTTGGTCACTTATCACTTAATCTGTGAAAATAATAAAACTTTTAATGGCTGCCCTCTAGCCATCAATCATCTTTTTTCCCACCAATCATCTATTCTTTTGGCGCCATGGATAGAGTTCAGAATCACAAATCAAAACAAACATGCTTGACCATTGCATGTTTCGGTTGGTTTGTGATTCTGATACATTTCTGCAAATGCATAATACTCTCAGAACCCATAAATTCAAACTGTATAAAATACATAGATTAAACATATATAATCAAAGAAACACACAAACACACACACACACACACACACACTGTTACTGACCTATATATGCGCACACACTCACTGAGCCACTCTCTCTCTCACACTGACCAATACACACACATATTGTAAAGCGCTACGGAATTTGTTGGCACTATATAAATGCCAATAGTTATAATAATGCTTACTGATTCCTAGACCCACACACTCACTGACCAATACAAACACTCACACTGACCCATAAACACACTGACAAATATGGTACACACATTGACAATCTAATCTGATCAATACACAAAGAGACACACTGACCAATACACACACTCTAAAGCAGATGCTGCAAACTTTCTGACGCACACACACACACTACACAATTCAACTTAATCTCTCTGCCACTCTTTACATCTCTCCGTTTCACCATAGCAAAAGTCACCAGCTAGCAATGACCCATGGGAAATTGTGGCCCTTATAGGAACAATTTAGAATTAAATGGCAATTTTAGGCATAATTAGTTGATGTATATTTTGTTAAACTCCATTATAGCCAAAGCTAGGCTACTTTAGTCAATTTACCATTAAAATTCGACTTATTGCGATTCAGTGTTATGTGAATAAATTCCTACAATTCTGGCCTGATTCTCCCCGCCAAACATTATCCTGTTGCTTGCCTTAGCCAGAAGTTATAGCCTTTTCCTCAGTTTTGTGTTTTTTTAATGAAACTAAAAAGAGAAAAACGATAAAAAGCAAGAACATTGAAAAGAAGAGGAAAAACAAGGAAGAAAAAACAAGAACAACTAAAAGGGTAAAGAAGATGGATAACATTGAAAACGGGCAATAAAAATTAACAAGGATGAAAGACAAGAAAAAACTGCACATGTAAAACAGGAAAACTTTCTAAGAAAGAGAAAGGAAAAAATGAGTCATTATTATTACTTTATTGCCACATACATCTGGACAGAATCCAAATGTTAAGGGCAGAAACATTGCTTTCATGACAAAGCCCAATATTACAGGATGTAGAAAAAGAAATAACAGATCTCACATTAAAACCAGATATCTTAACTTCTGATTTTTTTAAATTAGTGTCTTGCTCAACAGTTGGAGTTAATAAAGGAGGAAATAAGGGAAAAAATTAGGAGCGCAGTAGATCGGAAGGAATAAATTGTGCAATTACAACATAAAATTATTGAAAACAAAATTATTCTTTTCTGGTAAAATAAAAAAAAGTTATTTTTTTAAAGAGTCAGGTTAGGCACCATAACCACTATACCACACTGTAGTGATTATGGTGCTAGGAAATCCTGCCACCGTCCTTGGGTAAGAGTAACATTTTTCAAATGGTTTAACACTTACCTGTGTTCCCACTGCAAATTGCCTATTCTAACGCAGAAATTTACTACTCTTTGACAGTTATTGCAACTGAGTATAATATTGACATTTCTAATTTAAATATTTAAAGGGGCAAATATATTTAGGTAGGTTTAACTCATCACGGCAAATAATTATGTTTTGGCAATCTCAGTATTATACCCCAAAATGCAGACTAAGAGGCTACCCAATCCCAGATATGAAAGAGGATAGAAATGTATCACTGAACCCAAGGGTGATACAATTAGCAGGATAACCAGAAACAAGAGGAGATCAGAGGAATCCAGAGATCAGACAGAACGAGAAACAAAGCTGGGTCGAGGATGTCAGATCAGAGAAGTAAGAAAATAGATGTCAAAAACCAGCTAAGTAAACACACAATCAATGTGTTATTGGGTCCAATGAGGAACCATAACAAGGCATGGTGTTAATGTCTGAAAGGAATATTTATAGTAATTGACATTCTGCGTCATTCCTGTATGCTTCTTAATCATTGATAAGGAGGGAAGGGGCATGTTAATGGCAATAGGAAACAATCTCCCTGGCAAGACAACTAATGATATATATCTGCCTACCTTAACTTCTCATAAGTTGTAAGCCTTCTTTACCTTGTCCCATTTCTATAATTAAATTGCTGCGGAATATGTTGGCGTTACATAATAACAATGATTGACAGGGAATTTAAAGGGACACTATAATCACCAGAACAACTACAGCTTAATGTAGTTGTTCTGGTGAGTTTACTCAGTTCCTTCAGGTTTTTTATTGTAAAGACTGCCTTATTTTTTTTTTTCAATGGAAAACCAGAACTTTATCTTGCATAACAAGTTTTACAACAAGAACCAAAACAAACAATTCTGCAGACAAACACAATACCACTCTCTGCAGGTAGATTGCTGGGTCTCTTACAACGAGCAGGAGAGCCTTAGCCCCCCATCTCTTGGATGTACAGCCTAGGCTGGGATGCCTCAGATAGGGGGATAGGTACATAGAAGTGTCAGTCAGCCCAGACATGATCTAGAAGATGGTAAATTATGCTAGAGAACTTGAAAGGAACATCTAACATCATCCTAATAAGGCCACAGACTAAAACACAGCCAATAGAACAGTGGGGGGGAGGGGGATGTGGAGTCAGCAGCAATTTGTATTGAAGCTTTGTGCTGGTCACAATGCAGCATGGAGAGGACACCAGATGGTTGGATACGGTGACGTTCTCAACCTTCTTGTCCAAGATCTCCTTCATTAGCTTGCACAGACTTTCAAACTTTGACTTGTTCTCCTCCATCTTCTTCTCAACCTCATCTTCTGGCAGCTCCAGACCTTCCTTTGTAACAGACACCAGAGTCTTACCATCAAACTTCTTGAGTTGCTGGACACAGCACTCGTCAATGGGCTCTGTCATGTAGACCACTTCAAAGCCACGCTTCCTCACACGTTACACAAAGGCAGAGTTTGCCACCTGCTCCTTGCTCTCACAAGGAATGTAATAGATGCTCTTCTGGTTTTCCTTCATGCAGGACACATATTCGGGAAGTGTGGTACCGCAGGAGTTCAGACAGCTTCTTCAGATTTGTGGAGTTCTCATGAATGCCAAGCTTTAGGTTCTTGGAAAATGCTTCATAGAACTTCTTGCAGTTCTCCTTGTCTTTGACCAACTCTGTGAAGAGCTCTATGCATTCTTCACAATGTTCTTGATCTTACTCTGCTGCAGAATCTCTCTGGAAATGTTCAATGGCAAGTCCTCAGAATCTACCATGCCACGGAAAAGTTCAGGAATACTGGGATCAACTCATCACAGCTGTCCATGATGAACACTCTGGGCACATATAGCTTAATGTTATTCTTCTTTTTCTTGTTCTTAAACAGGTCAAACGGAGCCCATCAGGGAATGAATAGTAAGGCCCGGAACTCTAGATGGCCTTCTATGGAGAAGTGCTTAAAAGCCAAGTGGTCCTCCCAGTCATTTGTCAGGCTCTTGTAGAACTCTCCATACTCCTCCTGGCTGATATCGTCAGGGTTACACTTCCAAATGGGTTTGGTCTTGTTCAGCTCCTCCTGGATTTTTCCAATGTATTTTTCTTTGATTTTCTTTGTTTTCTTCTTTTTGTCTTTTCCCTCCTCTTCTTTATCTGATCCCACATCCTCTATCTTGGGTTTGTCCTCTCCATCCTCTTCATCTTTCTTCTCTTCCTCCTTCTCAGCCTCATCATCGCTGATCTCCTTCTCTCGCTCCTTCTCAAGATAGAGGGTGATTGGGTATTCCATGAATTGAGAGTGTTTCTTAACCAATTCCTTCACTTGTTTCTCCTCCAGATACTCAGTCTGGTCCTCCTTCAAACGTAGGATGACCTTGGTGCCGCGTCCGATGGGTTCACCATGGTCTACCTTTACTGTGAAAGAGCCACCAGTTGAGGATTCTCAAGCATACTGCTCATCATCAAAACCTTCCCAGCCAGAATAGAAGCCAACACCGATCATAGAGATATCTGCTCCAGCCTGCAGGGCCTCCATGAAAGCTTTGGTTACAGATTTGGCTATTGTTCACAGGTTGTTGATCAAATCAGCCTTTGTCATGCCAATCCCAGTGTCAATAAGAGTCACAGTTCGTTCCTTCCGGTTGGGGATGATGTCCATTTTCAGACCTTTACCACTGTCCAGCTTGGATGGATCAGTGTGTCACGACAGTGACCCCTTCTCACAGAATGTAACCCAGAAAAGATCGTATACCGGACCTTAGAGTGGCCCGACTAACGTATAGAGTAGTCAAATGGATAGCCAGAGATCAAAGGAGTACAGAAGACGGATAAACGATAAGACCTAGCCAAAGTACGGGAAACCAGAGATCAGAGTAGTCAAAAGGGAAAGCCAAAAGTCAATAACCAGGGAATCAACATTAAAGGAGAATATAAGCATTAGAGGTACAAACAAGAACCACACTAGGGTGTCTTGCAAGTGACAGGGGAGCCCTTTTATAGTGTGGGATATTTTGCTTTAAAACCACACCCCCAGAATGTCCGGGGGCGTGGTCGCGTGTGACCGACGTCGGCATTAGCTCCGACGCCGTATTATAAAAACATGTGTGGCGTGAGCGGCCGGCGTCAGAAGGGCTGTGCCGCTCGCTGGAGGAGGATGCTGTGCAGCGCAGGACCGAGGAGGAAAGGTAAGGCATTGTTACAGTACCCCCCCCTCCAGAACCGCCCACAGGGCGGGCAGAACGCCTCCTCTCAAATAAACGAACCAGGCGGGGGGCGTGAACATCGGAAGCATCCACCCATGAACGTTCCTCGAGACCGTAACCCTTCCAATCCAAGAGATATTGAAGTCTCCCTCTAGAAATACGGGAATCCAAAATGGACTTAACCTCGTATTCGTCTTGCTCTACAACAACAGGAGGTAGAGGTTTCGAGGGACTTCGAGTAAAACGATTACATATTAAAGGCTTGAGAAGAGACACATGTAATGAGTTAGGAATCTTCATGGTAGATGGCAAATGCAGTCTATAGCATACAGGGTTGATGCGTTGAATGATTCGGAAAGGTCCTATGAAACGCGGTGCAAACTTCATGGATGGGACTTTAAGTTTTATGTTACGAGTACTCAGCCATACTCTATCCCCTACCATGAACACGGGGGCAGCCCTTCTATGCCTATCCGCATTGATCTTTTGAATCTTGGCCCCTTAAATCAAGATCTGTTTAACCCCTAACCAAGTTTCCTTCAAATTCTGGACAGTGCTGTCCACACTTGGCATACCAGTAGAAGAAAAGGAACTTGGAAGAATAGTAGGGTTAAAACCGTAATTGATAAAAAAAAAAGGGACTGTGTTGAGTAGATTCATGCACCTGATTGTTGTGAGCAAATTCTGCCCATGGCAGCAAGTCAACCCAATCATCTTGATGTTCCGAAGTAAAACAGCGTATATACTGTTCTAGACATTGATTAATTATTTCCGTAACCCCATTAGATTGGGGATGGTAGGAGGAAGAAAGACTAAGGTTGATAGCCAATTGTTTACAAAATGCTCTCCAGAACCGTGAAACAAATTGTGGACCCCTGTCGGAAACAATATCTTGGGGTATTCCATGCAACCGGACAACTTCCCTTATGAACATAGAAGCCAGTTCGGAAGAAGAAGGTAATTTGACTAGTGGGGCCAGATGGGACATTTTAGAGAATCTGTCTATAATAGTCAATATAACGCTGTGATTCTTAGAGTGTGGTAGGTCCACTATGAAATCCAAAGCGTTACTTGACCAGGGTGTATTTGGAATTGGCAATGGCATGAGAAGACCAAAAGGAAGGCCTTTGGGAGATTTAGTTGAGGAACAGATACTACATGCAAGAATGAATTCACAAACATCTTTCTTGAATGAAGGCCACCAGAACTGTTTCTCAAGCAACGATTCTGTTTTATGCATTCCTGGGTGCCCTGCCAATTTGGAATCATGCACAAGGGAGAGGACCCTGTTACGATAAGTTAAGGGCACGTACAATTTTCCCCGGGGAACAGTTAATGAAGAACGATCCTGGAATTTAGTAAGTTCTTCCATCAATCCCGAAGAAATTTTAGCATGTACAGTGGCTACTATGTGGTCAGTAGGGATTATAGAGGACAACACGTCTTCGGGGGGTGATAAATGCTCACATTGGCGGGATAGGGCATCAGCTTTTGTATTTTTCGACCCCGGTCTATATGTGACAATGTAATTAAAACGGGTTAGGAATAATGACCACCGGATTTGCCTGTCAGACATTTTTTTTGTTTCTCCTAAATAAGAAAGGTTCTTATGGTCAAGAAGAATGGTGATAGGGACGGGTGACCCTTCAAGCAAGTGACACCATTCTTTAAGGGCCGAAATAATAGCCAACAATTCCCTATCTCCTATATCATATCTTTTTTCCGTCTCCGTTAACTTCTTGGAAAAGAACCCACATGGATGTAGGGGTTGATCATCAGACGGTCTTTGGGATAGTACAGCACCTATACCTGTTTCTGATGCATCTACCTCAAGTAAAAAAGGACGGGAAGGATTGGGATGGCTTAAGACTGGGGCTGAAGAAAAAGCCTCTTTTAACTTCTCGAAAGCTCTTTTAGCCTCTAGACCCCATTCCATATGATTCTTTCCCTTTTTAGTCATGGCAGTAATAGGGGCGGTTATAGAGGAGAACCCCTTAATAAATTTCCGGTAATAATTAGCAAACCCCAGGAAGCGTTGGATGGCTTTCTGTCCAACGGGCAAGGGCCATTGCTGAATAGCTTCTAGCTTTTTTGGTTCCATTTGAAAACCGGTTCCTGATATGATGTAACCTAGGAAATGCACTTCCTCTTTATGAAACAAGCATTTCTCTAGCTTACAATAAAGTAAATTTTGTAATAAATTAGAAAGAACTAGCCTGACGTGTTTATATTGTTCTTCCATGTTCTTAGAGTAGATCAATATATCGTCCAAATAGACTATTACAAACATCTGTAAATAATCCCTTAAAACATAATTAATGAAGTCTTGGAAGACTGCAGGGGCATTACATAACCCGAAGGGCATGACCCGGTACTCGTGGTGACCATAGCGAGTATTAAATGCGGTCTTACATTCATGCCCTTTCTTAATCCTGATTAAATTATAAGCTCCCCGCAAATCCAACTTAGTAAAAATAGTTGCTCCTTGAAACCTGTCGAAGAGTTCAGTAACTAATGGAATCGGATAAGCGTTCCGTATAGTTATCTTATTTAATCCCCTATAATCAATGCAGGGTCTTAAGTCTCCCTCCTTCTTGGAAACAAAGAAAACACCGGCGCCCGCTGGAGATGATGATTTAGTAATAAACCCTTTTCTTAAATTTTATTTAATGTATTCTTCTAATACTTTATTCTCAGCTATAGAAAGAGGATATACAGTGCCTCTAGGGGGCATAGTGCCGGGTAACAGGTCGATGACACAGTCGTATGCACGGTGAGGTGGTAATTTTTCTGCCTCTTGTGGTTCAAAGACCGCTTTAAGATCAGAATATTGTTTGGGTATCTGAGTGGTTAAGGGTTCCCATAGTAGGTATATTAATTAGACCTACTGGTTTAATTGGGGTAATACACCTTCTGAGACATGAATCTCCCCATTTTAGAATTTCTTTACTTTCCCAGTCTATTAAAGGATTATGCTGGGATAGCCAAGGGAAACCAAGGATAACAGGAAAAATGGGAGAAGTTATTTGTTGCAGGGTTCTAACCTCCTTATGAAGGGAACCTACGGACAATACCAGAGGAGTAGTTTCTTGAGTGATCAGAGGTACCGACAGTGGTCTACCATCTATGGCCTCAACGGCCAAGGGTGCAGATCTAGTTTGGAAGGGGAGAGCAAGTTTTTTACCGAATTTGTGATCCACAAAATTCTCAGCTGCCCCAGAATCTATTAGAGCAGTGGTTGATACCCTTTTTCCTTCCCATTCAATAGTTATTGGTAGAAGAAGCCTAAGATCACTCTTATCATTGAAGGAGGACATACACATAACACCCAAGGCCTGTCCCCCTTTAGGGCTTAGGTGCGGGAGTTTTCCGGTCGGTTGGGACACGTAATGCGGGAATGTCCTTTCTTACCGCAATACAAGCATAACCCCTCCCTTCTACGGTATTGTTTCTCTGTCTCAGACAATCGTGTAACTCCTAATTGCATTGGCTCGGGAGGAGTAACCACTGTTGTCTCAGAAGAGGGATAAGTCAAGGCTAGACGTTCAGGCACCCTTCTAGGTCTTTCCCTAGTATTTTGCCTATGCCGGAATCGTTCATCAATGTGAGCAAGTTTTTTGTTTTTGTGTATTTGTATTCACTTTTGTATCACACAGCTATGTTACAATGCTGCTGCCCACCCCATGTGTTCCCTATTAAGGGTTAATAAATATGTAGGGGTTTAGAAAAATACCCCTCTTTGCCTCATTAGAGATTTCTTTGCCTGAAGCTGAAGGAAGCTAGGTGAATTGTTAGTGTAGGACCCACCTAAGAGGTTTGCCTTGACATGGCAGGTGGGCTTACATCTAATGGCTATTGGAGATACCAAATAACCCACATTTATGGAAATATGCGTAGGGATTTGGGCTAGTGCGCAGGTAACTCCTTTTTTCTGTGGTTTCTAAAGAATATGAGAACTCTGAGAACAGACAAAAACTTAGAACTCAGTAGCTTACCTTTCGGTAAATCCCTGCTGGGGTCTCAAAATTGTTTTTTCTCATTTGTGCCATTACAGAGAGAACCAGTTCCAAGGCATATCAAACTAATCCCACCCATAAGGAAAGTCCAGAATTGAAAGGCCAGCAAGTTCTTTCTGCACCAGAGATGGGTATTATAAATTAATGTCTTAAGAATCACCCTAAATATTGTTTTAGCAAATTGTATTTATTTATTTATTTTTTTTATTTTTTTTTAAATTGGTTACAGTTTTCCACGTATTCTTTTGCACACATACTTTTCCATTCTTTTCCACATGGGAGAGATAGAAATACAGGTAAATGGTATTATAACTTTC